AGCTCAGTGTCCTCAGAGACATGCATGTATGTCGTTATGTTGTTGGTTCACTTCCTCTAACTTGACACTGGCTCTAGGTTTCATCTAGCACTGCCTGGTAGTCGCATAAGGGTTAGTTATACTCGACTCACATATGTGAGATTATATTATGCCCCTTTCATAGAGAATGGGGCCAAAATATATGAACGCCGTGTACAATCTCTAGAAGTCCTTTAGGGTTAGAAGTCTCAAAGGAATTCAGCCTGGGCTGAACATAATGAGTGTACAACTCCATTTTTTTTTTCTCATTCATTTATGCAAAATTATATTGTGTCTTATACTTTCATTCTGATTTGGTTATAGACGAGTAAGGCAACCAATGCACCCCTGAGGGACTATGCTTTCTCCTTCTAGAGTGCAAAACAAGGAACCTTCTCCGTGCTATGCCAAAATTCCATCATCGGCATGTCGTTGTGTACACTCTCGTCCCATGGAACCTCTATATGCCTCCACAAATTGGACAACAAGTCCAAACCGCAACAGCTTCTGCCTTTGAAGTATGTGTCTTTGATTCTTATAGGGATATCTGTGCACACCAAGTACGTGCCCTTTGATGACTACGAGATAGGCTCATCAAGTATGCATATGCCTTCTCCCATTACAAAAGGGGAAACTTACTTCATGGAGATGATCTTACTCATAAACCCCATCTAGTCATTTTAGTCAGGCAAGATCTCCATAGCACAAGAATCACCGACTGGGGGTCTAATGCATCAGAGTACACTCCAACCTCTTTTGAGTTGTTTCCAGTGCTTGAGACTCCTCTTGTTGGTAGATCTCTAACACACTTTAAGGAGCTGAGCACAAGTATAACTTCTTTGTCTCCTTTTATTTGCCTTATCAACAACAACAACAACAACAACAAAACAATAACAACATCAAATCTTTATCCCACTACGTGGGGCCGGCTACATGAATCCTTTTTCTCTATTGCGTCCTATTAAAAGTCAAATTCTCGTCCTATTTGCCTTATCAGTGTTATTTTAATTTTTTTAATAGTAATACTATTTTGTTTTCCTTGTTTGGTAGTGTCAAAAGGTACGGACTACTAGTTCAAAATTTTTTGTCATCTCACGTCCTTTATAAATCTAAGGAATAGAGATCAGCAAGACCACAGAATGACATTCCTCCGTAAATTAATTTCAAGATTGTACCTAGCATCTAACTAATTGTACCGTTTCACAACCAATGCCAATGCCACCCTGGACCTTTTGGTTCAAATTGGCTTAGACAAGGACTTAAGAAATTGGGAAGAATTATGCGGTGAAGCTGAATTCCTTGTTCAATGGTTGAAGTCACTTTCCATCCAACAATCCTGAATCTCATTACTTGATCTTCATATGAGGGTTAGGCTCTACCAAAAAGCTGCTGATATGGCCCACGATGAATTTGAAAAATGTGTTGAGGCTATGAGATGACATTGTCATAAATCTGTTAATCTTATTATTGAAATCAAGAGCCTCTCCTCCAAAATAAAGAACCTCTGGAAGGAGATCAAATACTTGATTTCTTCAAAGTGGACCTTCAAGCAGAGCAAGGATAGTGGGCGCGAGTGATTAAGAGGGAATAGGCCCTCTACCAGATATGTTATCGTGTCATGCTAGATGCTAAGGCCGCATTGAACCAACCTATGGAGAAATTACAAATTGTCGAAGCTTACCATCAAACCTTCACTGAAGTGTGTTATAGCACTAAGGTCTACAAGCTTGATTGGTCTAATATACTTTTATTTCTTTTTTTTAGTTTATACTCTTTTCCCACTACCCACATAGTGGGATAAAGGCATTCATTTTACACATGTATATATACAGTATTGTTTATTTATGTCTCTACTTATTGCAATATAATTTTTGTTGTTATTGTAATTTGGCCCGAAAAATTCCCAGAAGTTCAATAGTTGATACTATGAGAAAAATTGTTTGAGTCTTGATTAAATATCAAGTTTGCAATTGTTTTGGTTTGGCTATAGCAGCTTTTTGAGCCAGTTTAGATCTTCAATAGTCTGATGCTTTATGCTAGCAGACTTGTTGATGATGAAGCTGATTTAGATTTTGAGAATTGGATTTTTGAAGTTTCTTCCATGCTATGCTTTCAATGGTGGACTTAAAAAGAGTTAACCTTATTTGTCTTCGTTAAATTATCAGATAATCTTTATATTCTCTGTCATGTTTTTTTTTTTTTTTGCTTTTACGGACTTATTGAAGGGGTGTATGTTGATGACCTAACCCCTAAGGCTAGTGATAAGTCAATGGTAAAAAATCTTCGGACCACTACTTCATGCATTTACGAACCACTTAACAATAGAATTCTCTCCGTTCAACTTTAGACTTTGAGTAAACTTTGGGATAGCTTCTTTGGTGTTTTGCAATATATTTTGATGGGCTTGTTGAAGAAGATAAATTCCTTTGATCATCGCTTTGTGTTCAACGGATTTATTGAAGGAATCATAAACTTTGGCTTTGTTGATAGCACCTTATTTAGTTTGATGCTGCTCTTCGAATAAAAAGATTATTTCTTACATAGTACTTCTACCTTTTAACCAATTGAGAAGACTTCAATTTAGGTTCTTTCAACTTATTAAATTGGGTGAGCTAAAATTTGATAGCTCTTATCATCCAAATGTTGTTCCATTACTAGATTTCAAGATTTTCTTTTCTTCACTTCTTCACAAAGGTGGAAACCACGTCCTTTTTCCTCCAACAAAATTATACCACGAACAACCCGAACAGCATTCATACCTCCACCTTCCAGCACCTTGCCACCACTAATTCCACCTACAAAAGCACCTACCCTTCCTATTAGGAAACTTATCCTAGCTCAATTCAATATTTAAGAGATAACGAGAACTTAGTTTTAATTGTGATGCTAAATTTGGACAACAATATCATTGTCCTAAAAAATTCTATTTACTACGAGACACCAACGAAATAGATTTTGTTGATTCCATCCCATATAGACATTGATAACCAAGAATTATTGTCTGAAATCAGCCTCAATGCTTTAACTGGCCAATTCAATCCCTGGTTTTTTTTTTTTTTTGTTGACTAGGCCAATTAACCAACAGAATGTTCATATTTTAATCGATTGTGGTAGCACTTATAATTTTATTCAAGATAACATCATCCAAACTTCGATCTCCAATGACAAACAATTAAACACTCGAGTTGCTATCACCGGGCAAGAATATCAAGGTATTTTAGATTTATTTGGCTTATCTATTCATGCTGTTGATATTGTTCTTGGTATGCAATGGTAAAAAATTTTAGGCTCTATCTTACATAATTATCGCAATCTTACCATGCAATTCTCCGATCATGGCTGCCATATAGCTCTTACAATAAAGCCAATATGTTTCCATTAGCTCTGGGCGATTATATCCCATCCCTATTGTCCAATTCTTTACTATTCAAGCTCAGTCAATAGACACAATGTCAAATCTCACCATCAAATCCCCTGGATGATCACCTTACCGGCCTCACTACCAAGCTTCCCAACTCCATTTCCTATCTACTTTGGCATTAAAAACATCTTTTTGCACCTCCACAAGGGAAGATAAGTGTGTAAATTGAATTTACAAGTGCAAGAACTATTTATTCTTGATATATTTATGAGGTTATCTACATTGGTTGAGAAATGAAATGATTTGGAAAGATGCCAATAGTAAATAGAAATATATATTCATGTATTCAGGTATAAACCATTGCATATTAATATGAACGACTTAAGTTTTATATGTGACAAGTCTGATTGTTTTAATCTTCTCTTAGTTGATAATATGTTTAAAAAAAGTTTCATTCTTTAAGTAATGCAAAATTTTCTACATACAAAGATGTATGGTTATATAAGTGGTAGAATGTATATAACCATATTAATCAGTTATGCATTATCAATATAAGAGGGTTATTGAATATTTAAGTAGTAAAGATTGGCTATTCTATGTTATGATGTCTATATTATCAGGTGGGCAAAAAAGACTCAATATGAAACATGTATTATAGATGGGGCAAAAGGGACCCCAGAGAATTTGATATTTGCATAGCAGGTGAAGCAAAAAGGACCCCTAAAGAAGATAAAAGGGACCTCTATATAGTTCAATGATAATAATGTCATGTTTACCTGGCCTCCATTGAATAGGTTTATGAAAGTATAATCAAATCTTTTAAAAGACAAAAATCAATATTCAGTATCTTCTTCAACTGAAATAAAGGATAAAGTCCAAAATGATTTTATGATGTTGTACAAATAATGGTAAGTTGATTAAATGATGATTTCTATGTTGTCATTTATTATAACATTGCATTTTAATATTTATTTAAGTTGTATAACTTATTGAGCCTCATAGCTCACCAGTATATTTCTTATTAGTTGTTGTTACGGGAAAAGGAAAAGAAAATGTAGAGGTTGACTAAGTTGCAAGTATTTCAATTTTATATGTTAATGTTTGTCTCTGTGTTATGAGTCTACATATGAGGTAGGTAGACTGTTTAATGATCTAATATTTGAATTTGTATTAGTGACTCAATAAATATTTTGTTGGATGTAATTGGAATTTTAGAAGCTTCCATTTTTATATTAGATGTAATGAACTGATGAACATTTGTAACTAAAGAAAATGTATCATATGAAAAATGTTATGTTTATTTGAGTAATGCTCTATAGTATTGTTAAGAGATATTGTGGGGTGTTACAACCCGGCTCATTCATGGAAAGATCTCAAAGAAGCTGACAAAAACAAGAAGCAACTTCTGCACTAAACAGAAAGCACATTGCGATGCCATACCTCCTAGATGCTCAAATGGTTCCCAAATTCTAGAACATAAATTGTTTTCTTATTTACTTGAAACATTAATTGACTGAATGCTGGCATACACATCATATATAAAAGATAATTATTACTTCTCAAAATATATAATACCAAAAAAGCACCAAGAATTGATTGAGTCTATCGCACAGAATAGTACCTTGAGGTTACTCAACATTTTAACAGTTGCAGGATTAAAGTATAACTGCAAAAGCAAGTTCTACTGATCAGTAATAATATAAAAGAAATAAAAATTTTAAAACAAGAAAAGAAAAGCTTCTGGTGCAAACCCAAAGATTACATAATAAATGAACAAAACAACAAGACTACCCAAGGAATCATGAATTTGCTCCATTTTCACAAATTCTCAAGAATCAAGCAGCAATGAAACATGCAAAAAAACAAATAAACCATATACCTGCATAATGAACTTTAAGTAGTTATTGATGGCATACAGAAGAGCTGGAATGGCGAGAAGAATGTTATTACGAGCTGCCTGTCAAGGAACACCAAAGGAAAGATGTAAGATTAGTTGAAACAGAAATATAGCATTTGAGTAATCCAAAATATTCGCACAGCAGGTTCAAAAAATGGGAAATTCTATCTTATCTTAAGAACGTAGTTCAGTGGGCTCAAACAGCCAATAATGTCCCGGAATGAAAAATAAATAAGTTGTAAGCTCACTCCAAACTGAAATTCGAATTGAGCTTTCAGTTATGTTAGTTTTGTGAAATTAATTCGATTTCATGCCAATAAGATCCACAGTAAAAGTTATTATTGTATTAAAAAAATTAATAAAAAATATAAAAGCATAAACATGATCTTTATATAATTTTAATTAATGTTGACATGGTACATACCGAGTACCATGAGAATTGATTTGATACACAATAAAATATAAAAATGTTTGGCAAAGACATGTTGAAAATACTAAACATATATCTAATCAAGCACTAATTAGTATTAGTTGTGGCATGGCAACCAATAAACTTTCAATTATAGAAGGATTAAATCATGCATAATTTGTGGTTTCACATATTTTTATATTAGTTATGTAGATGTTTACAAAAGATATTAGAAATCTTTTGGTGCTTTTTTGCAGATTATATACCAATATATATAAAAGTTAAAATAATAAAAAAAATATTTAGAAGATAAAGAACATAGAATTAGTAGAGAAAAATCAAATATATGATATGCAATTTAGTGATATGATATTAACAATGGCCGATCAATATTATTAGAAGACAACATGAGGTATGGATGTGATAGGTTTAAATATATTTGATTTATTATATAAAAGAAAATAGATACAAATAAGGATATAACTTTTAGAGCAAAAGCTGAGTGTTTAAAATGAAAAGTTAAACGAATATCATGGAGACTTATGGATATATTTTATGGAACCACAATTTGATCAGCGATGATCAAGGATCAAAGTGTTAAACAATAAAAAAAAAATTTTAATACAAATTTGTTAATAAGCAAGGATAAATTAATGAATTATCATATTAAAAGAAAATTAAAGTTTGGTATTTTGAAGATGTAAAATGAGCGGTACAATGATGTAAGACGGTAAGATGGTTAAGATCTAAGATTATAATGCAACTTAAGATGCGATACACAATAAAATCACACCTTTAGACACCCATTAATAACTTCAACAAAAATCAATCACTTTTACTTTAAAAAAATAACAGCTGTACTTCTTTCAACCTTAATAATAATTTAAAGTCTATTAAAAATTAAAATTAGAATAGCAAAAAAGGAAAGAAATAAAAACTTTCATCAATAATTGAGTTTCACACTACAAAAATGAATAAAGCATGCATCGCCTGACAAAATTTAATCATGCATGCAATCTAGCCAGTATATAAATTAAAAATAAGAACAAGAATAGAAATCACCCACAAGTACGATCCAGGCGTCATGTTAGAACAAGAAGAATTGCCCATGGAAGTAGTTAAAAACACTTGTGAAGCACTTGAATAGACATCCAACTAGCACATACTAAAGAATTGAGAAAATCTAGAATTTTATTTCAATACCAACTACTCTTATCTTTTTTACATACTTCAAGACTTCAAGTGTCATATTTATAGCCTACAAAAGACTCAAAATAAAAAACCTCTAAGAATCCTCCAAGCTCTAGTAAAAATTTGAAAGCTCCAAATCTCCCAACACAAGTTGTAGGAATAAACCATCGGCTTAAAATTTTTCAAACAAACTCTTCCACAAAAGGAAAAACAAGATGCCACGATAGGACAAGCCAAAGGCACCAATAGGAGGCAGTCCCAGACACTATAGCAATTAGCAGAAATAAGAAACCTATGATATGTAGGCTTTTCAAATTCTTTCATGCCAACCCTAATAAAAATTACTTATGACTTTAATTTTAAGTATGCTAAAAATATTTGAACAACTTTTAAATTTGTAAGTTTTAATCCATCTACTTTCATTACTAACGCTACATGCCTAATTAAGGCTGAATTTAGTGTTAAATTTAGTTCAATGAAATATTTTCTAAACTTTTAACCTTCAACACAACAGTTTAGCTCCACATTATTGATGTTTCCATTATCCTCATGAGATATTTTATCGCATTCATTGATTTCAAAGCTACCATTTTATACGTCTAATATTCTGCTCATTTGATTTATAATTGATTATTTTAAGAAAAAATAGCTGCTTTTAAGATCGTTTCTTATCTGTTAATCAAATGATAACAGGTTACGTATGGTATAATAGCAAGTTCCCATATTGTTTTCAATTATTTATTATTCTTGTTCCTCAATTTCATTTCATTGTCCATGAGCAACTTCAATATTAGTGTTGTACCTCTATTATTCAACTCATTTCATTATGATTTTGTTGACGTCCGATACGGCACCATTTAGAGAGTAATTAATAAACGGCCAGGGAGCCCACAATTTTTCCAACGTTGTAAAAACAAGCTGGAAAATTTTTAAATATCAACAGCATGCATTTAACAACAATCTACAGTCAAAAGTTCCAACCATGGAAATTGACATGACAGATCGCAGGTCCCCAAAATAATGGCATGAGTTTGTAGGACATTTACTTGGAAGTGAAAATGCAAATGATCATTCGAATAGCATTCAGGTCAGCAAAACAACAACAATAACATGACTATAAGATCATAGTTCAAACAGCCAATCTATCATATTGAAACCAAAATCATTCAAAAACTCTCACAGTTAACGGAAACTGTAAAGAAACCTTTACCAGAACAAATGTCGAAACTGAAAGCAGTGGTTTCTCTCCAACCTTTTGTTGCCTAGCCTGAAAAAACAAAAAAGATCAGTATTTATTGTACAAAAATCAGAAAGAAAATTAATAGGAAAGCAATAAGCAAACAGAATATCAACATTTATTGGAAAAATTTTGTTGAGTTGCTAACACAAAAATATGTCAGGAGACATTTACTCAAAACAAGAAGATATTTCATAAAAACGACATGAAAGTTAAATTTTGCATTGACGTTAAAAATAAATCTAATGACACAAAAAATAATGAGCGTTTTCTTGTACTTTTATATAAAAGTATCGTAATTTTTACAAAATGACTTGCGGCTTTTTGGTAAATATCTTGCACTCCAGATGTATTTTTGCATGAGTTTGATGCAATTTTTTCATATTTATATTATTTCCTCAAAAAATCTTGTACAATTAAGAAATAACCATAACAGAGAATTCAAAATGCTCAAGAAATGTATATAGAAAATAACATAGACTCCTCTAATCATGTAAAACACAAAAAAATTTTGGGCAGCAGCATCTACCAAAATTTTTGTTCTAATAACAAGGGAAGAACTTGAAATGTCAGGGGAGCCCACAGCCAAGTAGAGGGAGATGTTTAGGAAGATTCATAATCAGAGGGAGATGCTTAAAAAGGTTCCTAATCAAGGGGGCTGTTTAGGAAAGTTCTTAATATAGGGGTAATTATTTATAAAGGTTTCTAATCAAGGATGAGCTGTTTAGGAAGGTTCCTAATCAAGGGAAACTTGTTTATGAAGGTTTCATAATTGTATTTATAATGTTTATGAAGGGTTTAATTGTTTATGAAGGTTTCTTAATTGTGTTTATGTTGTTTATGAATGGTTTAATTGTTTAGGAAGGTATTTTAATTGTGTTTGTGTTGTTTAGGAAGGTTTTAATTGTGTGTATTGTGTGCTAGGGCTATTTAAAGGGGAGTTTGGTTTGGGATTTGGAGCTTATGTCTTGCTAAAGTTTATGCTAGGGTTTGTTGTGAGTTTTCTAGCGACATCTAGGATTTGTGGGAGACCTGATCTACCTCTCAAATAGTAGATCACTTATATTTTTCATTATTGTTGAAGAGATAGTCCAAAAATCAGTCCTAATATTTGATTCTTGCAAATTTCTTCCTATCCACTTGCTATTTTACCTTCCAAAACGCATCAAACTGATATCAGAGAGAGGTTTCGGAGAGATGGCATCAAATGCATTGAAAGGCAAAGCGGAGTAAATTAAATCCCGGATGAACGAGAAGTTTTCAGCCATTGAAGAAAGGTTTCTAGCTATGGAGAATCGAATGGAGAGCCGAATTGCAAGGTTGAAGGAGATGATGAGGAAGATCATGGAGATACAATCCAAAACTATACCAGTGGTTCCGATTGCTAATCATACTAAGATTTGACCATAATTCTCTTGGCCAAATCTAAGGTAAGGAGATCTGACAGGAGGAGTTCGAAGAAGAGTTTCTATCATCAAGAGCCACCTTTTTTTCTTTTTATAGAAAATTTTCAATAATCACTCAAATATTATCATGTCCATGTTTGAATATGGAAATCCCATAACAAGATCCATCGTAATATATTCTCACTTCCACTCAGGAATAGGTATAGTCCACTAGATCGTTGATAATCAGCTTTCACAATTTTATATGTCTCACACTTAGCTATATATTCAGCATTATCTTTCTTCACACCTGGCCACCAGAAAATGAATTTCAAATATTTAAACATTTTGGTACTATCTGGATGAATGGTGCAACTGATGTAGAACAGGATAGGAGAATTTAATCTTAGGAGAAATTCAGCCAGCAGTATGTTCAAATCCCAATTCTCCCCAAAGAGATCAATGAAATCTGGAATTCACTTGATGATGCTTTCAAAATTCTGAGAATAACTCTCAGTAAACCTGAAATAGTTCAGGTTTTCTTCTCAAAATCTGAGAAGAAAATGAGCTCTCAAGGTAGGGAGGATGGGTTGGAAGGGATAATAGGAGTTTAGCCGTGAATAGGAGTAGAAGGCTGAGTGTGATTTCCTTCACAAGCTCTGGCCTAGTGAGGTCTTCTCAAGCAGGTAGGCAAGGGGGGAGGGGTGGTGACGGGAGACAGCTCACGGGATTGATAAACGGTGGAGATTTTCCAATTAATTCCTGTAGGAATTAATGAAATTCGAAACAGCTAGGGAAGTGGTGAGCTGGGAGGTAAATTAGGAAATGAAATTAAAATCCTAAACTGTTAGGTGAAGAATGGGAGGGAAATCTGAGAGGAAATCTTCATTTCCTCTCTCAGATTTTCAAATTTGGAATAAAAGCTGAACTGACGTTGAGAGGGGAGGTATTTGTGAAGTAATTAACGGGTGATGAGGTGGCAATTAGAGAGAGAGACAATGGGGGTGAGGTGGCCGACCATAAGGAGAGAGAAAGGGGCTTGGTAATGAATAAAATGGGGCCCACAAATTAAAGCAGATTTAATTATTAAATATGACCGGAATTCTCAGGTTTCAAATATGAGGGAAGTTTCCTAAAGCAAGGCAATCAATTAAACTTAATTTGAATTTCAAATTGAGATTGGATTACAATTAAGGAGATTGCCTAAAATTAAGGATTTAATTTAGGAAAGTCAATTATGTCACATGGGGAGATTTGAAATTTCAAATTTCAAATCCCATGGAGGGAGGCCGGCAGTTAGAAGATTTTCGGGTGAGGTGGCCGGCGCCTTATGATGGAAAAGGAGACGACGATGGGGGACGTAGGTAGAGGATGATGCAACAAGAAGGAACCAAAGAAAAACAAAGATAGAAACGAAAGATAAAAAATAAAAAAGATAGAAACCGCGAGCCTTGGACTCTTCCGAAGACTGACGGGTGATTCGTTTGCCCTTCTCCAAGGGACTTCAAATCACGAGCCCAAACCCATCCTGCGGCTGGTGACAACTCTCAATTTCTCTCATAGAAATCTCACTCTCGTCCTCCCTCAAGAAGAACACAACTGTGGAAAACACAAAATTTTCATATCAGATTAACCATCATCCCAAATACAAGAGAAGGGGCCTTTATATATAGGCCTCAAAAGAAATTAAAAGACAGATTAGCCCCTTGGGCTTACATAAGACAAAAGGGTAAAAAGGGAAATTGCAAAATTAAATCAAAATACACTTAATAAACTAAAATAAAACAAAGTGATCTCGGTCGTCGATCTTCAGCTCCTCGGATAAGCATGGACGGTTGGATGTCCGCATCAGCAACCAAAGTGATGAGCTTCCTACAAACTTTCCTTTCTTAATTCTAGATTGTTGGGTACTCACAATTTAGACTTATGCTTAATGATTTCATCATCATCAACAAAAAGATCTTTTATTTTATTATACTGAGACTGATTCATTAACTTTAGATATTCATTATCAACCTTTTGATCTTCTTTAATACGATCTATTAAAGTTGATTTTACTATCATCTGATGTAAGTAATCCACATTTTTAGAATCTCTAACATTCAATTATAAATTCTCTAATATTTTTATAAATAGGACCTCTTGAGTAATCATCCAATTCAACATACCTGTAGATTTGCGGCTCAAAGCATCGGCCACAATATTTAGCTTTTCCAGGACAATACTGAAAATCCATACCATAATCCTTGATTAGTTCAAAGTTCAAACCATCTTCTCTATCTCAGATTTAGTTCTTTCTGTGAAATATGTACTTTAAACTATGATAATCAGTGAATATTGCACATTTTATCCCATATAGATAATGCCTTAAATTTTTTAAAGCAAGCACCATCGTTGTCAACTCTAAATCATGCGTAAGATAATTTCTTTCATGTGGCTTCAGCAGTCTTAATGTATAGGCAATTAACTTTTCGTTCTGCATTAAAGCAAATCCTACTCCCTTCAATTAAGTATCACTGTAAATCTAAAATACTTTTATTCCTAATAGAATTGTCAACATTGATTTTGTAGTTAGTGCATCTTCAATGTCTGAAAGTTCTTCTCACATTGTGCAATCCATTAACATCCTTTCTAATTAGCTTTGATAATAACATAGCAAATTGTGAGAATTCTTTGACAAATCTCTTGTAGTATCCAGCTAATCCCAAAAGATACAAACCTCTATAACATTTTTTGGTGTGGGCCATTCTAAGATTGCTTTCACTTTCTGTGGATCTACTGAAATCCCTTCACCACTAATAATATGCCCCAATAATATAAAACTCCTTAACCAAAATTCTCATTTTGAATATTTTGCATATAGTTGATGTTTACTCAATGTTTTCAAAACTATTCTTAAATATTCAGTATGTTCATCACCAGTCATAGAGTATCAGAATGTCATCAATAAAAATGATCATAAATTGATCTATATAATCCTTGAAAATCCGATTCATCATATTCATAGAAATAATAAGAGCATTTGTCAACCCAAAAGGCATGACTAGAAACTCAAAATGACCATATATACTCCCAAAAGTTGTCTTACTTATATCTTCTTCTTTAACCCTCACTTGATGATATCCTATTCTCAAATCAATTCTGAAAAATAATGTGGCACCTGCTAATTGATCAAACAAGTCCTCTATGCGAGGTAGTGGATATTTGTACTTGATGGTCACTTTGTTCAACTCTTTATAGTCAATACACATTTGCATGGATCCATCTTTCTTTAAAACAAAGAGTACAGGTACAGTCCAGGGTGAATAACTAGCCCAAATAAATCTCTTATCCATCAATTCCTCCAACTAAGTTTTCAACTCCTGTAATTCTTTTGGAGTCATCCTATAAAGGAGATTTGTATATTGCCGATGTTCCTGGTTGCAGTTTTATGTCAAAGTCAACTTCTATTGCAAGTGGAAATCAAGATAATTCTTTAGGAAATACATCTAAAAAATGTGATATAACCGGAACATTATATAATGCATGTACATCTTTATTTAACACTTCCATTTTAGTTAAAAACATCAACCCATCCCTCAGATATTTACCCATCTTCACTGCACTAACAAAAAGATGATATTGCATTATTCTCATAAGGAAAGT